ATCCACAACAACAACAGCAACAAATAATAATAAGAATAATAATAATAACTAAAATGATAAAACCGGCGATAGCAATACCTACAATTCCACCTGTTGTTAAACATGCTGCATTTGATGAAGAAACCGTACAGTTGACTGCCATGTTATTTCTATACTATTGAAATCATATTTTAACAAATAACATAATCAAGGAATGTACATTTTAATCTAGATTTTACTCCTATATATATATATCTATTGTCATTCTACATAGATTTAATAGAACAAAAAAGTAAACAAATCGTTGCCAAAACAGAAAAGAAGGTTGAAAGATGTGGGTGGAATATAAAAAAACATTTTTTAAGTTACTTTAAAATTATTAAAACCGAGTAAATACAATCGCTGACGTTGATATGACGTCATATACAATCAATGTTTTTTCTCTCAAAATAAAAGAAAAATATCAATGGAATTAAATAAAAAACGTGCGTTTTACTTTAAAACATTCATTTTTAGTTTGTTATTTAACGTGTCCAATTGATCTGTTAGAAAAAAAAGAGTCTACTAGTCGAAAATAAAAGTGCATTCAATAGAAAAAGGTCAATTAATAACCAGCGATGTCAGGATTTGTTACGAAAATATGCGACATTATTTTCAGTCGTCGTCGTTATTATTGTCACGCCTCCCCCACTCTACAAAAATAATCATTATGTCCTTAAAATTCTTCAATTTTGGAGATTACATCAGAGAATACTTCAATCAAACTTAAAAATAAGATATTTTTAACGATGATTTCTGTTTAAACTTGATAGAAATGATAAAATTTCTGTTAATATTATCATCAGAAGACAAAGACGTATGCACTACAGTATATGATAAACAACTGGAACTTTTCTTTTTTTATAAAAAAAAGTATTATACCATATCAATTCAGTTCACAATTTTTATACGATTATCAAAAAAATTTTAAATTTGATATTATAAAATAAAAAATATATGAGTTAATAAATAATAATCTGTATTAGATATTTACATGTAATCTATAATCTCAAACAATCAGTTAAGAATTGAATTGACAAATTTTATGAAATTCTCTTGTTTTTTTTTGTCATTAGAGTAAAAATCTTTAATAATTTTTTAAATATTTCATATAAGAACAACTGATTGTAGAAAAGAGTAATTGAATATTAATTTAATTTTAAAATCTATTAACATTTACGACATTGATGAAGAGAAACAAAAAATGTGACATACATAAGTATAAAAAGAGTATTGTCAACAAAATTGACAGACAGGCAGACAAACCAAATATTTATTTAAATACACAATTATATATTCATAACATAAATTTTTCATTTAGTTTTTCAACTTTAGTTTTTATTTTAAATTTCATCTCAAATAATTTAATAATATAATTTATATCATAATAGTTAAATTATCTAGATAAATATTTCATTTTACTATTTCAACAAAAATCAGTTTATCAATTAAAAATTATTGTAAAAAAAATAATCTACAAAAATAAATATCAATCTAGAAATTGATTTACATTTCTATATAAAATAACGTTCATAGATTAAAAAAAACTCACATCTCATGAAGTTTATTGTGTTTGAAGATTCGGAAATTTTGTCTAATTGATATCTGAGAAAGAATTTCTTCAAAATTTAATATCTTCTCAAATGGCAATTTAGGATCAAAATCTTTTTCTAAATTTATTTATACTTTATCGAGATCTATTTATAACTAAAAGATAATCTCTGAACACCTTCAACAGCGTGGGAAGAGTGGCAGAGTCAGTATTTTGAACCTCTACCCCCTAATCAATAAAATACATCGATGGAAAATCACGTTAGGGAGAGGCTGAGCTCCCTCTGATTTAATCACTACCAAGAAGGTCTTTGATAAAAAATTTTATAGTAAAAACTCGGTAATTTGTTTCGAACTAAGTCGACAATAAAAAAATGTTATTTTAAAAATGATTCTGTTAAGTTAGATGAATGTTAATTGTCTAAACAATCGTTTCTTACGAATTTTTCATTAAAAAAGAAAATATGAATACTTTTAGAATAAATCTTTTCATTTTATTTATTTATTAAACATGACTTTTACATTTATCTAATCTATTCTATTTTATTCTATGATAAACATGTATACTTATATATCTGTATCAGTTGACCTCGTCTCTTATTTCTTTTCTATTTTCAACTCTATAGACCCACATAGATATAAAATCTCTCTCTTTCTCTCTCTCTCTTTTATTTTATTTATCCTTTATCATATGTGCTTTTACTGTTGTTATATAATATTCGTTTAACTTCTATTCGTTATTTAACATGAAAACAAAGTTATATATGTATTAGTGAAGTCTCGAATAGATCGATATTATCATAGTTAAACAACGTTTATGTACAAACACAAGTTAGAAAGACGCAAGAAGAATATCGTATTTCGAATAAATTTGATTTCGATATTGAAATTAATTCTTTTAGTTTAGTTTAAAAAGCAAGTTCGTATTAGAAATTTGTTTTTTTTTATTTTAGATAATAAATAATAAATAAATTAAAAATGTGTGATACATCAATAATAAAAGTTTCATCTAAAACAGCTCCAGTTGGAGAATTAGGACAAAAATATTTGGCTTGTGGAAAATCTCTTTCAATGCGAATGTGGGATGAAGAAAAAGGTGACAATAAAGAAAAAGGTTTAACAGCACGAGATTATGAAACAGTTGGTTATGTTATATCAGGAAAAGCTGAATTACATTTTGAAAATGATCAAAAAGTTTTACTTTCTCAAGGAGATTCATGGATTGTACCTAAAGGTTCAAAACATACATATAAAATAATTGAAAATTTTACTGCTGTTGAAGCAACTCATCCACCTGCTGAAATTAAAAATAGAGATGCACCAACTACACATTAATATGCAACATTTCACTTATTAACAAACAAAAACAACATTCATTTCTTCTTTCTTTTTTTATAGTTTTTTTTATTGTTTAAAAAAAAATAAATTTATTCTCGCATACGAATCATTCTCACAAGACTATATAAAACTTCTTGTCTTAGAAAAGTAAATAATTTTAATCTATATTATCCGAATATTCGATTTAAAAAACTATATTTATACAAATCATACATTGTTGATATAACATTGAAATAAAATGAATGAAAAAGATCAATTTGTCTTCTTATTTGAATTTAGTTTTAATTTAATAAATTAATAATTTAGTTATTTTTTTATTTAAAAATTCTTTTAATAAAATATTGAATATTATTTTTTAGAATTATCGTTTATTTAATGATAACAATATTTGTACTCTTTTGCTTATAGAAATTGTTCAAGTCTCAATTAATATTAATTAGACGATGAAATTTTTTTAAATCCAAATAACACATTTGTGTTTGTCATTATCATTAAAATTTATTTCCTTTATTTTATCTATTATCAATCATAGATTAATGATTATCTTATATATTTTATTATTTCAATATCAATTGATAGTATGAAGATAAAGAATTAGTAGTTACAAAGACTTACAGAAGATATTACGAATACACCATAATATAGAGTACATATAATGGATAGACAAGATTTGCAACTATGTAAATAATCTATTAATATTAGAATCATGTTATCAAATATGAAAATCATAACGAAAATGTGCCAATTGAAACATACTAACTACACTAAGGCATTAAAAACAAACTGTTGAGACGATTTACCATAGATCTCACAAGAATAAAAAGTGTTTGTCTAACACTCAATCTGTTAACGAGTTCATGTGTACTTATCCTGCATTTTTTTTTCTTGTAAGTCCTTATTTATAAACTTGATATGCTTTTTTTTATAGATCTTTAGATGACTGATAATCAGAAAAGATAACTATTAAAGTAGCAAAAGACAAGAAACAACATCGTGGATCTAATTGAGCTCATAAAAAGTATAGAAAAGGGCTAGATATTAGAATTTGTTAATCCCAACAGATGGCACTAAATGACGCTATATTTTATATATGTATTTTCCTTCATATCTACCGAATCTCTTTGGTGTTTTCTTTTCTTATCACGTAATGGCTGTCAATATATATGCGGTTGTTGTTTGAATTTTCTTTGATCACTGATTTTCTTCATATTCATCGTTATTTATTATATCTTACATATTTTATTTGCTTTTTAAATATAACGTTTCCATTTATAATACGTAGTAGATGTTACTCAGATATTATATAGTACACAACTTAGAGTAAGAATATTTATATTAAGTTCACCCATATTCTAGCATTATTTAGTTTTCGACTGGTTGGTTTAGACTCTATAGTCTGCGATCTATATGAACGTTAGAGTCGAATATGTATATAATGTGAGATCGACAAAGTTAACTGATATTTCCTAAAACCATAAATATATTGTTTACTGGAATAATCAAATTATTAGATATTGTAAATTATTGAACCACTCGATAACACTTTCAAACCAATGAATATGTTCTGTTATATATTATCGTTGAATTAAAGATGAAAAACTATCTATGTCAATAACTTCTCGTAGGAGAGTTGCTACTAGGATGACATTTAAGAAAATTTTAAAAGCATAACAAATTTCACATGAAAATACTATATCTTCAGTTTTGTTTCAACTGACAGAGTTTTTCTCACTATTCTGTATCCTCAATATCGAGATATCTATTATAAAAAAACTCAATCTTACAGATCATGTCTTAGTTGTATATTAATGAGTTCATCAAAAATCTACAAAGCATTTTATTATCTTAAAAAGTAAATACTTTAGAAACGCTTTGATGTATTAAACTAGCATCATAACTTAAATGAAATGCTACCTGAAATATTGGTTATTCTTTATTTAATGAAATAATATTGTCCAACATTAGCTCAAACCAGCATAAAACTTCAGTCAATGTTTATTAGTATATCAGCTACTATTTTTCTTGAAACTAAATTAGTACAAGCCGATTTTTTGATATGTTATATACCTTTTAACTTTCTACAAAATGTTGATGTTCGAAGATATATCAGATTTACATTATCTGTAGCTAATTAAACGTTCTAAAGACAAATAAGCTGTAGTATTGCTTTTTTACCTTAGATTTCTAAAAATGTCTCCACTAATAACTCTCAAAATACTCTTTTGTCTCTAGATAAACATTTTTTCAGAAAAAATTCCAAGTGAGTCAGATTATTTTATCTTACCAATACTATTATTTTTTTTTCTCGTTGTAGCATGGATTCATCTGCGTTAATCAAACCTCTTCCAAGTACTGAACTTTCTGATAGTCACAAAATTCACGTGATTGCTTTTGACTATGGTAAAATCACCGGAATATACCCGTAAATCTCTTATACTGGTCTTTTTTCAAAATATATTTTACAGGTGGAGTGTTATTCTCAAATGGAAAGGAATTAGGATTGGATAAGCTCGAACTTGATTATGGTTATGATCGTAACATTGTTTGGCAGCTTCTGAATAGTCCAGAATCATGGGAACTAAGACGAGGCAACATTTCTGACGATGCTTTTTGGACATGGGCGCAAACACAACTTCCGAAAGGTAAGCTCAGCAAGATTAACTAGTCATTATAGTCTTCTAAAAATAGAGACAATCTCTAGCGAAAGAATATATAAGATGTGTATATAAGTAAATGATTACGAAAAAGTATTTACGAGGCTGTTCATATCAGAACTTACATTGTGTGACAACGACAAAAATAGATTCCTTATCGAGCAAAATTGTTCAATAGAACACTTCGGTAATTTCTCATAGAATAATACACTGATGACTATAAATTTCATATATTTTGTTGCCACAATCAGTATAAAAGTATTTTCAATAGAGAATGCACACTCATCATAAAATTGAAAATAGATTATAGGAGTTTGTTTTGACTATCGAGACTCGATTTAGACAGGATCGAAACGAAAAATTTTCATTTTTGAAGGGTATGATGCATGTCTTATACGTGATACATGGTATAGCATGTATATATTGGATGAAAATATCTTGAAACTACTTCAACGATTAAAACAACAAAACTATCGTATCATAGCTTATACGGATAATATTCCTGAACGAGTGGCATATCTTGAAAATAAATATCATTTTCAACATTATTTCGATGCAGAAGTGAAAAGTTATGATTGGCATGCTGTTAAAACTGATATAACATTTGCAAAAGCTCTTTTAAAAATAGCTGGATGTGAAACAGATCCTTCTACATTGGTTCATATCGATGATCAAATTCTTGACGTTGAACATGTGAAGAAACTAGGTGGAAATGTACTCATCTACAGAACAGGTTATATTAACGAATTAATTACCGCTTTACACAATATTGGAGTTCAATGCTAATAAAATTAATATTTTAACTTTTATAAAAACTATTTTCGAAATACTGCACTATTTTTTTAATAAACTGATACATCCCACCAAGGTCATTCAAAAGTCAATCAATTCTAATTCTTGCACTTTGTATGTTCTTGAATAATGATAAAATTATTTCTTCTTACTTCTACCAGGAAGAGATTGTATTATTATGTATAACTAGACTATTATCATCTATTTTTATTGTGACAAAGTTCCAATGAAAGATTATATCTATTCAATTTTAACTAAGAGATTTGTCAATTTCTAATTAAAATGATGATGACTCCTATAGTGTCTATATATAGAAAAGAGTAGAAGAAAAATGTGTTCTTGAATACCTTTCCAGTCTTGAAATTGCCTCATTACTATCATGAAATTTATCTACTCTTTTCTTTTTGCATCGTTTACAAATGAAAAACAAACGGAAGGTTTTATATTCGAGGAATGAGTTTAATATGTAGTGTATATTTTATGCGAGCCTATTATTGTTGTTTGATTTGCAAGATCATCATATTTTTTCTCATTTTCTTATAGACATATTATTTCGTTTTCATATAAGAATAAATAATCAAGTTTGACAAAAGGTGAATATTATATCCATTCATCATCTCCATCTACACTCACATTAAAATAGAAACCCGAAAAAAAAGAAAACGATTTGTTGATCATACTATAGTCAAATAAATATTCTAATTTGAATTATCTAATAATTACATATTTAATTGTGATTATTTATAGAATTGTTCTTAAAGAAATAAAATGTTAGTATATAGAAATATTTCAGTTGTTTCCTCAAATATAAATAAATAAAATTAGATAAAGTATTTAATTAAATTTATTTATAAAAAAAAATAAAATAAAAATGAGTGTTTTTTTTTGGTATTGATTCATAGAAATTGATTTTCATATAAAATATATTTATTGGATAATGATAGATGATCATTATCATACATAGTTACTTTTCTATTCAATCTTATTTCTAATATTTCTAATAGTAAATAAACAAAAAGAAAAAAAACGTGTATCGTTCTTGCTGTTTGTTTTTCTTGAGTTATTGAGAAAGAAAACGTGTGTATCAAGTTTTCATGTCAATGCGAATAATCGTCATTCAATTGTATTTTGAATTATTTTATTCAAATAATATGATTGATGAAATGAATATAGAACATGGAAACAAATGGGGTCAATAAATTCTGATACAATATCATCTAGTAACAATAATAATAATAATTACGATTCGATTAAGTACGTTTTCAAGTATATCATCATTAATAACATTAGAAATGAAAAAAGAATTTTAGTTAGAATTTTTATCAATTTGGTTTGAAATTTTGGATATGAATCCATGTGATATTAAATTATGTTTTATTGAATGTGCTCGTCTTCTTTCAATTTTATTAAAACTACTTGATTTTTATGAAATAAGAAAAGATTTATTTACTTGTAAAGAAATATACGTTATATGTTTAAATCAATTAAATAAAATTCAAAATAAAAACTTATCTTTTATTAGATTCATCTCAAACAACTTCAAGAGTATCTTAATAATCATACTGAATTATTTCTTCTTCTTATTAATTGTGTTGATAAAAGGATGCCTAATAAATCTTCTGATTCAATAAAAAATATATTAAAATGGAATATTGTTTTAAAGTTCTTCATTACCTTGTTCAATCATCATTATTAACAGATAAAACTTGGCGATCATTAATAAGTATTATTCAAAAGATAGTTCGACATGATGATGGAGCTGATCAATTAAATTTATTCACAAAAATATCATGGAAATGAAATGTCTCTACATGAGTATCTTCGATTTGCAAAATCTGTAAAACAATCGATGAATGAAAATTCTTCGTCTTCAGTTTCTATTAGATTAAACTCATTAACTTAAAATCAATCGAAAACATGTGTTGTTTCATAAAAACAAATATATCAAATAATCAATACTTATTAATATTATTTTTATTATACATTGTATTAATAAAATGTATTTTACAAAATTCTTGTTTTTCTTACCAAAGATAATTTTCGACTTGTAAATAAGAATAATCAACTTATAGCATTTGTTTATTAATCTTTTTAAACAGTCACGCTAAAACATAATCAGAAAGTCTTTTCATTTTTTTTCCTTATGTAATACCTCATACTATTAAAATCCTATCAATTTTGACAATGTTATTGTGATTAAATCCCTGAAAATGTTAATTATGTTCATGATGAGTATATATAGCTATTGAGAGTAACGTAATTTCAACAGCATAAATAGTATAATATTATTAATAAATCGGAAATCTTCTAAGAAGAAGAAATGATCTTTAAAAGAAACAAAATAAGATAAACATGAATAAAAATGATCTCTTGAGGTTATAGTTCGAAATAATATAAAGACTTTGTTTAATGGTTTCTGTTAGACGAAATTATTGATAGAGTTCATCGAATTTTATTTAGCACAACACATTTTATAATTGACATAAGTCGTTGTCTGAATTCATTTCAAAAATATTCGAATCAGTCGCTAACTTTTCTTACATTCACATTTATCGTTTATTTAATACAACCAAGATGAAACGAATTTTAAGATCCATGAACATTTATTATATTAATTTTAATATTGTTGACCATAATCTGTTTAGTGGTTAAAAAAATCAAGAAATCATGAACCAGCTGGAACAACTATTATATAATCGATTATTTACTAAAAAATACTATTAGTGAGTATACAGGAGTAGATAAAAATACAAAAAATTTTTTATTCACAACGAATATTTTTTTCTTTCCTTTTACTCCTTCTGTTGATACACGTGCATTTTCTTCTTCGATTTTTTTCTTCTTTTCATCATGGGTTACTCCCATATCATATATATATATATAAATTTTGTTATTGTTAAAAATTTCTTTCGTTCTCATTGTGAGTACACATATGTAAAATAAGCAAAGTCGATGGGTACGGTCAATATGCGTTGATATAGTCATATATATGTATTCTTTGTTCTTTTCTTTCTTTCTTTCTTTTCTTTTTCCTTCTTCATCTTTGTCTTTCTCTATATGTGGTATCATATCGAGATCTACTGATTACGTTCTTTGTTATTACCTTCGATTTCTCTTTCTTCCTCTTTCGTATATATGTGTCGAGATCATGTAGTGAGATACATCTTATCGCATTACCTGTCATTATATCATTTGTCGTTTATTTTTGAGTTTGGTTATATAAAGGTTACAAAAAACATGCATATATACATTTTTTTCTCGTACGACAATCCTTAAAAATCAGGATTTTATATAATAACTCGATCGAATAGAACATGAGTTTTTTTGTACTCACAATCGCAATTTTTACATTTTCTATTTCGGGTTTGAATCGTAAGTCATATCTCGTTGACTTTGATAATATGTTAAACAACATGTTTGACACGACCTTGCTGATGTCTATTATTATCGTAACTTCATATATACGTAAAAAAAAAATGAAAAATAAAAATAAGAGAACGCAAGAGCTAACGATAGGTAACCAGTAAAGCTTGCTTGTATTATCACATCTCGAAAACAAACAGTAAAGACAAATCGATAAAAAGGTAAGTGGTGTCTTCATCAATAATTGTAAACAGCTCGAACTACCTCCATAAGTCATATTATACGAAGGCTACTATGAGCAAAATACATTGTGTTTCTCTTTTTTATTCTAACATAGACTGTAGAAAAAGAGTGAAACAATATATCTTATAACAGGTCTCATTAGGATCTTAAATCTTATACTAAACTTTTATAAACAATTACATGAACATAAAGGTAATACATAGTTTGAAGAGTTTATTATCGTTAGAGTCACAGGAAGATTTCCGAAAATGCAAAATATCAGCAGTCTTTGACGATTTATGAGAGTGAAATGTATTTCAACAATGGCTTATAAGTGTGCTCTTTTTTCAGAATCTCAGGCCTATTTACTCGCCTCTTTAAAATATGTTCTCACCGTCCAAAAAATTTACTATATTTAATGTGTCAAAGTCATTTAGAGTGCCCCCAAAACATAAAACGTGAAAATCGAAAGGTCACATGACAGATATAAAAATACTAAGGACAAAAGTTAGGGGTCACTGATAAAAATGTCATATAGCAGGTATGAAATAGTTAAGGGTAAACTAGGATCGAATGATCACAGTTTTCATGCAAATATAAAAAAAAAAGAGAAATTGTTCACGGTAAATGTTCGAGAGCACTGATAAAAATGTCAAATGACATAGGTCAAGTTTTTGTTATTTAGTTTTTGTTTGTTAGTCAAAATTAAAATCATAGTTGTGCATTATATGTATTTTCACTCCCGTGAAATATATCTAACTGTTTAATTAGATGTATGACGGCTCACAATCAAGTACTTGAACGATACGAATAATCCGTTCTGTTCGTATAAGTGGTATAGTGACTGAAAATGTAGATAGAGTGCGAATATTCGATGAAGTATAGATATGTGTGTGTATTTAGGCATTGACATTGTACTCTTGATCTATCTACACGCTTACCAACAATCTTGAATCTCCTCGATATATCATAATCGGCAAAAAGTAATAGTACTTTCTTTGGCTATTACAAACATGACAAACCGACTCGAACTGAGCCATCCTATATTAGAAATCTATTTGCTATCGTAAACGAAATTTTCATATAGATATTAGCGTCAGTTGTATTTGATATTTCAAAGGCGCGATAGCTTATTAGAATAGAAAAGCAGCTAGGTTTCGCTTAAGTTGCCACAAAAGATAATCCAACTCGATGAAATGAAATACTGAAGTGACTGCGGATAATATTGAAGATTACTCTCAATGCTTGTGATCTCGATTAGTACTATAAGAAATCATCATAGACTTTTGATCCCTAACTATTATTGGTGAACCTGTTTAAGTTTAACTATCTTGAAAGACTTCGACAAATTTTGAGATACAACTAGATCTATTTAGTTTAAACAATTACTCTACTTAATTTTAGTTTAAAATATTTAGTCTGAGCGATCATCAAATATTATTTTACCTACATTCGTAATACAAATGGCTACAAGTATAAGAGGAGAGAAGCATCAAACTAAAACTTTTCAAGAAGATTATGGTTTCGATACACATCAACAGTCGACAGACAGCTATGCATCGCGTTTGACTAACTTTGAAGATGAACAGACAATTCTAGATGACATGGACGATATATCCTTGTACTCAATACATTCTCAATCATCGGATGATTTTGATGATTTATTCAACATAATGTTCTCACCATCATCTATTTCTACAAACTTTTCAGGATTAATAAGTGATAACTTACAGCCATCAACTATAGAGGATATCGACTCATCATCGACAAGTATATCCAGGATGCTCTTTGTGTCTCACCTACCGATAACAGTCAAATGTTGTTATCTACGCACATTCTTTCCCGGATGCCGCAAGATAGTTTTCAAAGAAAATGAATGGAACAATGACTTCAGGTTATAAGAGATTCAATATATGATGATAAATCGTTCACTTTCTATTAAACAGATTCGCCCTGATTGAACATTATACACACGCTGATGCACAAAGAAATCTGTCCACTTTTCCTAGTTTGACTTCGTCGGAGAACATCTTTCGTAATGTCAAAGTCACTTATGCGAAAGCATTTGCGACAAAGCCAAATTCTATCTCTGATTCATTAGGGAGTGAGTTTAAAATAAGCAAAGTAAATGTCTCATCTTCTCTATTACTATTCGTAGCTCCATACAGTTTTTGTGATCTTCATGTTGGTCGCATTCCGGGTTCGATCACTAAGCATCAACTGTGGGAATTATTTCCCAAAGCCGCTTCTATCGAATATAAACAAGGAACAATTACGCATAGCCGTATCAAACTAGGGTATGAGATAATGCAAAATGTGACTTATAGTTTTCTTATTATTTGATTTTGTCGATATTAGATATGCATTTGTCCATTTTGTTGATATTAAATTGGCGGATGAAGCGATGCAGTCCGTAAGTCATTATTGCACTGACAATCAAACACTATCGATCTCCTACAAAAGATTAAAAAAATATGACTAACACTACGAGCAACAGCACATACTTATCAGGCGATAGTACGTACATCTCTATTCGCTTTCTTTTTATATATGTGTTCTTGTCATTTCCTTTCTTCTTATACATGTTATATATATTTGGATTTTGCTAGTCGTGTGTATCATATATGTTTGATATTTTTCTTTGTCTCCACGTGTTATCTTTTCATATATGTTATATCGAATGGAGTTTATCCCTATCAATCGATGGACACCTTCTAACGATGTGGGATTCACCATTCTGTATATAGCTATGTTTTTTTTAATAAATAAACTTATGTATAATGCACATTTATATCCAGTTGGCGACCTAGAGTTAGTGTTATGATCTTCACCATTCATGAGATCATATAGAACTATTCTCTCTATCTCTCTAGTACTAATAAAATATTTTATTAAAAGTTGGAGAAGACTCATACTACTTTTTTTGAGCTATTAGAAATAGCAGGGCTGAGCTCACTCTACTAAGAAATCCTGGTTACGCCTCTATATGCACTGTATAATACTACGATGTCGATTAGAAGATAATTTCTAACGAAGATGACATTGATAGAAAAAAGTTCTTTACTGTACAAATAGATGTCTTATATTGTAGATGAACAATCAGTATTATACTGAGAGAATAATCGTTCAGAGTGTATGTTAAGATCAATTTAATTTTTTTATTTAGATCAACATTCTCACATTTTCAATAGAATTGATAAGGCACACTAAAGACATCTGTGTTAGCATATTATGATATGACAGATGTATATTTAACGGCATATATCAACAGGTGTATTTTTTATATGTCGTATATTACAAGATCTATGTTGATATAATAGGGTACTCTGTCGACATGAGTTATTGTAATGAAATTGCTGCTAACCAATCATGTTTTTATTTTCATTCGTATGTACTTTGTATTATGTTCTACATATATATTTTTCAGTATATTAATTACTAATCATCATGAATAGACCTGCTGAGCAATTTTTTTATTTTCAATGTATATATGCAAGAAGAACAAGAGGACTTTAAAATATATGAAATATATATATTGATCCAAAATTTCTTTACTATAAGATTCATTTTTCTCATTGTAATTTGTATAAATATTATATATATAGTTAATTTTAAAGGCTTTTCATATGAATATAAAATAATAGACAAATATTTTGTATCATATTATATGATAAATAAAATCATATTAACAATTTTAAAAAAAGTAACTTCTTTTTGTTTTTAGTTTTTAGAGAATTGAATTGATAAGGTAAATAACGAATTTTTTCGAATAAATATTGAAAACGAAATAAAAGAGAAAGAGTTTTCTTCAAAATTGATTTCAATGATATTCTAAATGATAAATAATTGTAATTGATATAATTATTTTTGTATGACAGTTTTTTAAGAACCAAAATGAAATTTTAAAGTATAATATTAATTATAAATTTCGAAAAAATTTCTTCGTTTTCAATTGATCGATTTTATTAATAAAACTCTTTGATATTTTAGTTGAATAAAAATTCTTTACGAATGGAAAATGAGAAAGATGTCCTACGTCCTTATCCAGTTGATTCATCTCAAGATAAAATTTTTCATAAAATAGTTTTTGCTAAAAGAGATTTAATACCTCGAATAACATCATTTCTATTTACAATATTAACATATCCATTTATGCTAATAAGTAAATATTTAAATAAAAGATCAATTATAGAAAATGGTGAAGAAAAAGATGAAAAAGAAATTGGTTCAATATATGTTTCAACACGAATAAATGCAATGGATTCAAAATTTTATTACGTTGTACGTAATGGAAAAATTTGGTTTAAACCAATTGGTGCTCATAAAGATGCTTCATGGAAATTATTTGGTGGTAATGGTTTTATTGATAATTGTAAAACTCCATTAATATCATTAAGTGCTGATGGAGATAATATTTTAGCAGTTGATCAAAATCAAATAATTCATTATGCTAAAAGTAATCAAATTATTTGTCAAGTGTCATTTGATTGTCCAACATGGAAAATAATTGAATCAAGAGTTAAATGGACAGAAAAATGGTTTAATATGGATGGAGTATCTTTAATTGTTAATTTATTTAAAAATCCAATATTAAAATCATTAGAAAATAATCGAAGTATTTGTATGTCTCATAAAGGTCATGATACAATGTATTATACAGATATGAAAGGAAAAAAACATCCTGATCCATATGTTGGTGTAACAACAATTTATACATTAAATAATGATGGAACAAGAATATTTTTTGCTGATCCATGGTTACAAAATAAATTTGAAAATGAATTAACAACTCCAGAAGAAGGACAATTTATAGCTGAATCAATGGCAACTAGTGGATCAACTTTATTTCTTATTCAAAGAGCAAGAAATGAATTTGGCAAAGAAATTAATAAAATGTATACAAGATTTGCTGATTTTGATTCAATTGGATCAAATCCAGCACTACGAGCAACATATAATATTAATAATAATATTCCACTTATTAGAATAATTCCATCGGAAGATTGGATTAAACAACCAGATATATCTATTCAAGATAAAGCTCGTTTAACAAAAAATATTTCAATACTTCAAATTGGATGGGGACAAAATAATAGACAATTAAGAGTTCAAGGACAAAATCAATATGGACAAAATGGATTTTATTTTAAAAATATTTATGAAAAACAATGGAATTTTCAAATAACAAATGATATCGATTTATCAGAAGAAGAGTTTCTATCTCAATTAATTCCTCATATTGGATTTGATAAAGGTCCACAAATAACTTTTGATTATGAAAATGGTCAATTACAATCAAATTTAATTAATCATTCAATAAAAAATATTATTCTAGAAAAATATTCTCATCGTGGTCTTAATGAAAGAGGTTTACATACAAAATTAATTCTTATTTTTGAAAATAATTCAAATTTATCAATTCCATTATATGCACGTAGAGGATGGAAAAGTTTAATAGGAATTTCACAAGAAAATATTTGGAAATTAGTTATTCCATTAAATTATTTTCAACAAAATCAATTTTTTATTAAACAAATATTAGAAAAGATTTTCAATAATAAATCAAGACATTCAGTTTATGTCACACAAACTCAACATGAAATTTCTATTACAAATCAATTTTTTACTCGTTCAAAATTTAAATTCATTTTTAAAATGAAAACACAATAAAATTTTAATTATTAATAATTAAATCTTTATCTTTTTTTTAATTTAAATATTCTTCTTTTAATCATTCGACAAACGAGATTATATAATTTAACTCTCAAATAAATACATTTTTTAAACTAAACAATCGAATTAAAGTCTGAAGTACTATTTTCTCTTCAATTCAGTTTATGTTTCTCTATTATATTAATTCATATTTAAGGACATATGAGTAAGAATATTATGATGTGAATTACTTTACTTTACTCTCATTCACATTCTCATTTCTTTTTTCTTTTTTAATTATTCCAATATAATAAATAAATAAATCTAATTGAAATAGATTTAACCAAAATTCCAGCCTCGTTATTATTCAATCCAATCCATATGAACTTCATATAACTGTTAGTATTGTAACATATAGAGCAATACGTAGTGTGATTAGAAATAGTATTTATTCAAGCTTTTATTTTACAATAAACCAAAGCTTTATATAAAAAAAAGTAAGTAAAGTTAAATTATTTATAATAGCAAACATTTATTTTCGTTAACCAAGTCAAGACAAGTTCTTTCATTAAATAGTTTAATATTTATATTTGTTATTAGTTCAGGTATTGGATCATTTCGATATTTTTGGCAAAAACGTCAAATTTCATATAATTTTAATTCAAATAATAATATTAAAATAAATTATTAATGAAAAAAATTTCAATAAAAATCTTCTTATCCAACGAACTATAGAATCTATTGAACATCTATTTTTTATTGTTTTAATTAGTCGATATTTATTTTTTCTCTCTCTATCTCGCTTTTACATTAATTTTTTACTTTAATCTAACTTTACAATTTCTATAAATTCATTTTCTTCCTCCTACATAATCAGTCTAGGTAAACGACTGATGATGGAAATACAAAGGAGTAGACGTCTGAATGTATAAGGAACAAGACTGAATCATAAGAATCTACAATCACATTTGCACAAATTAGGTAACACTTTTTAATTTTTCTAAACGTCGATTTTCTCTATCGAAGTATAGATTTAGTTTTAAGCTAAATAAATTTAATATTTACACTAGTATCCTTCCACACATTCTTATATGAGACAAAATCTTTTTAGATATGGTTAATAATGTTTTTACAACAATATTCAACAGTATTTCATTTTTGTTCGTTTTAATAAGAAGTTTAATATAAAGAAAAGTATGAAGATCTTGAGGGTGGTTCTGGATGTTTATGTAGTTGAGTGGATAGAATACTCTCGATCACATCCGAATTATACGATAGACAATGAAGATAGATGACTTGTTTTGTTAACATCAATGCTCATAATAAAATGATTCGAACTCGATAACAACGTACATCGTTTTATTTCTAAGTTAGGAAGCCTAGAATGATGATGTACATTAAACAAAATTATTCTGAATTGAAAATAAAAAATAAAAATCAATATTTCTATAAAAGATTTTAAATCATTGGTTTATTTTTCATATAATTTAGAATTAAAAAATGATTATTATTGTTTATTATTAATAATTGAATTATTTATGATTGAACGAATGTTATAATATAATACATGATGGATGATTGAATTTATCTATACACTTACATCGTTGATCTAAAGGTACATCGTGTAATACTTGTTCTATATGTTGTCCACAATCTAATACAATAAAATAGATAGAAATCTAAATAATATAGGACAACAATGGATTGTTTTTTAACCTGTCCATGTTATTTTTCCACATTTTGAACAAGTTGCCTTTCTACACATGATTTTTCTGATGAGAAAAATATAAAAATTTATTAATTAATATAGAGAAAATGACATGACGTCAAAAAATAATATTCCGTTGCAAATTTTCATTAATAAAATAACGAATGAAAAATATAACTGAAACTAAACAGAGGTCTCTACCCAATGTTTTTTCTATTGAATTCTATTCCCTGTGATAAATAGTTTTAACTTAAATTAATATATATAATGATAAAACTGTTTATATTCAATGTAGAACACATTTATCTTTAAAAAATAATGCATTTAAAAAATATAATAAATAGGAAGAAAATATATTTAAATAGTTAAATCATTTATATATTTTTGGTTTTTTTAATTATTATTAATAAAAAAGTGATTGAATAAAAACTTTTTAAAATATTGTTTTCATCATTTGAGAAATTTCAGTAAAAACAAACGCTAGTCTAAAATATCATAGAAATCTAATAATAGTCAACAGATAAAATAATAAAAGAGATTATTTGATGATTTAAAAACATTTCATTGAATATAACATTTGCTTGAATAGTTTTATTAACGTACAAATAAAATAAAGAAATACTTTCAAAAAAAAAAAGAAACAGATAAACTAAATGTTTGATATTTAATGTTGATCATTTTTTTGTTAATGACGCTAAATATGTTTTAACAGGTTGATAATGGATAATACTAGTTGTTATTTCTGGTCGTTTTTCTTTTAATAATTTTAAAGCATTTTCTGGTGACATTTTTTCATTAGCAACTAAATGACAAAATACAATCGTCGCACTTCTACCCATTCCAGCTTTACAATGAACAAAAATTTTCTTTTTATTAATAAATGCTTCATTCATAAATTTCATAGCTTTTTCAATTGTTTTTCTTGATGGTGCAGTACTATCAACAGTTGGTAAATATAATTGTTTTATATTATATAATTCATATGTTTTTCTTGGTCCATGATATTCAGCACACATATTAACAACATATTCTATTCCAATTTTATTTAAAATTTTCACATCAGAAGGTAATGGTAAACAACCTAAATAACAATATGAAGATATTTGACTATATAAAGAATTTAATGGATTATTTAATAATTTAAATATAATAACTAAAAAAAAAGCTGGAATATCATATAATATATGTATAATATAACGTCTTTTATCATGTAAATCCATATCATGTTTAGTTCGCGCAAAACTTGTCATTATTAATGCATATGGAAATAAATGTTCAATTCTTCTCAATCGAATATAATGATGACCAATTACTAAAGCAATCAATTCAATTAATATTTTTAATACAAATACAGTCCATAAACTAATAAATAATATATATAATAATAATCTACATAAACCATAATATGAACGTTGTTGTCTTGGATAAGATCTATACCATTCAAATATAGCTATTAACATTATAGGAATATAACTTCCATATGGATTATTTAATAAATATGATGTTAATATACTTGATAATAAACATAATATAACATAAATAACATTTTTAAAATCACGGCTTACTGGATCTTCGTCAAATTCAGCTTCACAATCATCTGGTATTGTTATATCCAATATAGAACTTCTTCGTCTATTTACGTTCTTATTATCTTCTTTTTCATTCATAGTATATTCGAAAGAATTTCTAAAATAAATATTCATTTTCTTTTATTATTTATCAAAGATTTTAATGTAATTTTATTAAAAAAAATTGTTCATAAATGTTTTGACTCATATTAATAATTATTGAACAAGAATATTCTTTTTTATTTCTTATTATAAATTATGATCAATAGAAAAATGAAATTTATTTATTAAAATTAATCTATAGGATATGCATCAATGTTTAAAAGAAATAATCTTTACCTTTCTCTTATATATTGAAATTGATTACTTCAATGAAAATTTATATTTCGAATAAACTGTGCACTTTTTTTCCTTTTTACTAATAACATAGACAAGACATAAAGAACGAAACACGTTTTTATTTCTATTGAATAACATCGAATCATTCATGTGTGCATATGTGAATATAACGTTTAATTGACGATTGGATGTTTATTTTAACGATGTCACTTTAATAAGTATCTATGTTTAGATATATATAGATAGATAGCATTCAATGAGTAATGTTCATGTTACAATTAATAATAAATTCGCAAATTATTTTTTATATGTTAACATAAATTTTCCATGTCTATTAGATTTTTTAATTTGAAAAAAAAGCCAATTGAATTGAATGAACTTATTTTTTGTTTGTTTTTTACAGATAAAATTTGATTTTTTTATTAAAAATTTCGATAATTTATCTATTCTTAAATAAAGTAAGTTTTATTTTTTTTATAAATGATTTATCTGAAAATTTCTTATTTTGAGTAAACTAAAATTAAAACAGACGAGTTAATGAAATAAATGAGACATTTTTTACACAAACAAATAACAATGAAATACTTTCTAAAGTTATTTATTCATGTAGAGTAATATTTTAAAGTACAAAAATAGATTAAGAAACATAGATAATAGTGACACTATATTATTCTATCCTTCCTAATAAAAGTCTTTTATTAATATATTAAAACACTTTTAATAGTTATGGAAAGTAATAAAATTAATTTTTTGACTATTTTCTAGTTTTCTTCATTTTTAAGAGTATTTTTTTCATAGTCTCAATTATACTTAATAATACTTCAAGGTGAGAAAGTACGATAAATGACTAATTGTTTTTTCTTGTATAGTTAAACGAGAAAATCCTTAATGAATATGAGAGATACATTCTATAGAATTAATTTGTATCTATGATTATGATAGATAAACATTGAAAGTTATTCTATCGGATTTCAATTGAGAATTGAATAGAACTTCAATAATAAATATAAATATTGTGATTTGAATGTGCTTTTTCTAAACAATTAATTTAATTTAATATTGATTTCTATATAAATTTGATGTTTTAGTTTTCAAAACAAATGATTTGTTCAAATATTGTAAATGAATCAACAGACAAATATGAAGAATATATTGAAGATGAAAGAGAATATGAAAAGGATTTGAAAGAATTAATTTGTTCACATGATTTATTAATGAAAGATTTGAAATCTTTTCTCTTAAAATTATCAATCGATGAATTAATTAATTTAATTAAATATATTTATGAATTCAAAATCAAATATGATCATATTCAATATCAAATAAATTTTATTCAAAATCAAATCAATTCAAATAAACAACAATTAAATTTAATAAAAAATCAATTTTTTATTTCTAATATTCAACAATTAAATAAAGATATCCAACAACTTAAATTAGATTTACAAGAGATTTTATCTCAAGAAAATAGAAATATTTTATCAAATAATTTAACAATTGAAAAAGTAAATCATACATCAAATTTAGATATCAATGAAAAACATTTTCCTCTTATTCAATCAGAAGATGAAGATGAAGAAGAAGAAGAAGAAGACGAAGAATTAGTAGCTTTTGTTAATTCTGATAGTACATTACGAATAAATCAAAAGATTCGTTTATCAAATAATATTGTTCGTTGGTTACGAGGTCCAATAAAAGTAATGCTTGATGGTACAATGCATGCAGTTGATGTATGTGCACAAGGTACACATATTAGTGATAGTGCTTTACAAGCTGTTAAACAAGGTTTAGATAAACAAAAAATGACTCTCTCAAAAGAAGAAGAAGAAGAAGAAGAAGAAGAAATTGTAAATAATTCAATGAAATATCCATTTATTGAAATAACATCGGAATGGAAATTTCAAGAAGAAAATTCCGATCGTGGTTATAGTAGTCCATCGATATGGATGATAAATAAGAAAAATAAAATGAGATTTTTATTTAAAATTCAAGAACTTCCATTATGTGCTGCGAATGAATGGTTAGCTTATGTTTTAGGAAGATATCTTGGTTTACCTATAAATCATGTACAAATTTCAATTTATGAAAATAATTTAATTACAATACATAAAGATGTTGGAAAATATAATGAAAAAACAATAACATTTATGGATTTACCAAAACAAAAAAGACGAACAATATTAACTTATCCAATCATTGAATCTATGGATTTATTTGATAAAATTATTCAAAATGTTGATAGAAATCCACGAAATATTTTAATAACAATATTAAAAAAAAATCATATTAATGATGAGAATATTAAATTAAAAATACATTTTATTGATCATTCATCTTGTTTTGGTATGGGTAAACTTAATGGGATTAGTGTTGTTGCTTCGAAATTTCATAGTAATCATCTTGCTGTTGTCAAATTTGATCCAATACATAAATCAAAACAATTTGAAAAATATCTTAAAAAACTTCCAATTGAAGATCGTCCTCTTATAAGTAAAACATTACATCGTTTTGCAACAATAACTGATTATCAATTTGATAGTTGGATTAATCAAATAAAAGATTTATTATCAATTAGTCAATATAATAGAATACAAAATGTTTTAAGAAAACAAAGAGATATTGCCAAATTTTATTCTATACAATGGGGATTTTCAAATATGAAATAATCAAAGAAAAAAATATTCATATCTTCAAATACAATTTGATTTTATTAATAAAAAACATTGGACTATGAGATCAAAATTGTAAAAACTTTTCACAAATGATAATATTAAAGATTTAAATTTTCATAAATTATATAATTGGATATTTTATTTATATTTGTAAAGTAAATATTTCTATGAAGAAAAATAGAAAGATAAATAAATAAATAAATAAATATTCAACAAGATATTTTAGTAAAGGAAAAATATATTTCAATGTATACAATAGACAATACTATTTCCTAGAATTATATTACAATTTATTCAAATAATAGAACATAAGAAATGTTTTATTATTATTTACACATATATCAATCAAGTCAAATTTTCTTTTCTGATTATTTTAATATTAGATTAAATTCCATTTCTATGATTCATATTGTCACAAATTTCGAAATGTTATATTGTGAATAAATGAAGTTTATATAATAAAAGAAGTTTTATCATTGTAAATATTCTTTTGTAAGATTTTATTAGAAAATCCTTTCTTTTTATTCTTTCCAATAAAATCAATTTTAATTATTTTTGAAAAATATCTCAACATAACTTTATTGGATATAGACAGTTTTCTAAAAACGTTTATTTATTTTCTTTTCAATATTTTTTCCCGATATACAAGTTCGAGTGATATAATTTGATAAAAATGGTTGATATTTATCTTTTATATAAAATTCATCGATATCGACTTCTTAGAATAGAAATTTGTTAAACCTTCTTATTGATCAAATAAAAATCTAGTAGGATTAGCACACAATGTGAAATTTGTGTGTATGTGTGATGAGAATTGTTATATATAAGATTAATTCTTCTAGAATAGATACTGTTTAATTTGGACAATTTCTATTTCTATGGATAAACACATTACATAAAATATTATACAATGATTAAGAAATAAATTGTAAAGAAAATAAATGAAATTTATAATTCGATATTTAATATTTTTCGATAAATCTATTTCTTTAGATTATTATGATCTTTTTTATGTGCTAAATTGTTTGTTTATGAAATTGAACTAATTCGATTTTAGTTGAAGATCCTCAATATTTCGATTTAATTAATTAACGATAAAAATAGAAATAGTTAGATAAAAAATCGAATTCGTTTTTTTAATTATTTCTATTTGGATATTTTAATATGAAGAAATACAAAGATTTTGTTTTTATCAAAACTAGTTAATATGTGTTAATGAAATCATAGATTTATAGAATATAAGAAGTAAATATTAATGTTTTAACATTATTTTCAATAAATAAAAAAAATCTCGATTTTCTCTTATGAGAAATTTGTATTTCTATATATTAAAAATCTATTCGAATCAAATGAATATCTAATAAAAGAATATTATCTTTGTTTTCATTAGAAAAATCTACTTATCATTCAAGATATATTTCAATGAAAATCTAAATATTGTTTTTCATAATCTTAGTTTCACAATTGAATTATAATTAAATTTGACTTTCATTATTGGTTCTGATCGAAAAAGTTAATATGAGATATTTCATTTTTTCACTAAATTTTTTTCTAAATTATTCAACTATCTTTTTCAATATTAGAAAAAGTTTATTCGAAACAATTTTTGTACAAAGAATAAATTTAAAAATAAAAACTTCTTAATAACATAATGAGTTTAAAATTATATAAAAATATTGAAATTATTCTTAGTTGGAGAATAATTTTCGAAAGTTTTAAATTTCATTTAGAAATATTCTTCTAAAGAACAAATCTAACTAAATTTTTATAATTATAATATCAAATAAAAATTACATCATATGAAATATTTTGATCGATCAATTTGAAATTAAATAGATTTATTTTCTTCCAAAACCTTGTTACAGATATACACACATATTTAAAGTAATAGATATAAAATTAGTTTTTAAAATATTTTTTATTTTCTTTCTATGATGAATATTTTTAAAAAAATCATGTGCAAAGTCATGTTCTACATGCAAAAGATGTTTTCGAACTAAGAGAAGGTACGAGCTCAGTGTGACGCAAAAATGCGCCTAACAGTTCCTTTACATGCTTCGGACCTTGCATTTTCTTCTTATTAGTTTTAACTATTTTAATTAGTTTTTATTTGACATGGTGCAATAACATATGTGTTACTATTTTTCTCATGCATCCAATTGGTAAAAAAGGAATGTCGCTAGTTACATTTACCCATTAAATATTTTACTCATCTTATTAAATTTTTTTCTTTGCTCTTTTCTCTGTCAAATGATTATTTTTTTATTTTCTTTCTTTCTAAATGATATAATAATGATACTATACTATTCTCTCAATTGAATATTATTTGTCCATGTTAATATCTAATTATATAAATTTATCGAAATATTATTTAAAAATCCGTTTAGATATTTAATCTTGTTAAAAATATTTGACTCTTCTCTCTCTATATAATATTAAAATATAGAAAAAAAAGCAAATGATCTTATTCAATCTATAAGTTTTGTCTATTATTCTTAAAATAATTTTTAATAACTATCGATAAATCTTAAATAGTACCTCTCCTTATAAGCAATCAATGAATAAAATAAAAAAATTATGTTTTATAATTAACTCTACTAATTCATTGAGTTTTCTTAAGTGTAGATTTAAATTAACCAAAATTAATTGAATGAATTAAGTTAAAAACGTCTGCATTTGTCATATAGAATAATTAAAATATAATATAGATACTTTCTATAAATCAGAATAGATAGGAATTGTGATGGATGTGAGTTATAACTACTATAGATCGTAAGAGATGTTATTTTATTAATCAAAAATGATATTTCGTAAATTTAGTGGAAATTATCAATGGATTAATGTATTGCTACAGATGAGAAGTTATTTTATAATGTAATTATTGAGTGTTAATAAGTTAATGATAAGTTTCGTGCTGCAGACAACTTTCAAAAATTACAAGAATGATCCCGTAAGATGGAAACCCTTTCTAATTTCTAGTTATTAGAATCGAAAATGAATTGAGATTGCATATATGAATATATACAAAGAATTTGACTTGAGTACAAGAACTTTTCGACATGATTTCGAACAGTTGAATTATCATAAATGAAAAAGATCATGACGCAAGAATCGGTGAAAGAACTAGCGAAAAAAAATATATTTCGATTTTTCTAGGTTCTGAGTGAATGTAGAGACCAGAATCAACAATTTGAATATTTATGCTTAAAAGATTATTGCTATGTAAACATTTAAATGATGAATATGTTATGAACAAATAAACAATGACATACTCGAAGTTACGTATAGACACGAATGATTGTCATTTTCTACAGTTCTTTAATTATTGTCTATCATAATCTATAGAAGAAGATTTGAAATCGTTGCCTTTCTAATTAAATACTCATTTTAATTCATATTTTATAAAAACAAAAACAATATATCTAGAGAAAATATTGCGATAATCATGATTTTGGCATAATAGAATTGTTTCGATATTTATTCCTATCAATTATATCAATTCAAGAAAGAACTCATATACTTTTGTAAAACTAAAAAAGTCGTTTTGTAACATATACTTACCTAATAATTCGAAATAATAAAAATAATGTGTTAAAATATTTTTTAAAACTAATCTAATTGAATATTTCTAACAAGTTTTCTCTTCTTCAATTATGCAAAAACAAAATAAAATTTCTACGAAGAAAAAAAAATGAATATGAAAGTCTAAAATGATTAAATATAGAAAAACAGTTTTGTAAAAACTATTAACAATATGGTGCACTATTAATGAATTGACTGAAATAAAATACACTCTTTACTAATTTCGTCGTCCTTTTTATGTGACCTGTAATTAAGAAAAAGTGCATTGGCTATTATCGACAGCTTTAACTTATACGATAATAGTTTTTAAAGTGTAACAGATGCTTTTAATACGATTATTTCAATAGAAATGAAAAAAACAAGCTCTTTTTCATTGCGAATATACGTTATAATAATTACATTTTTTATTCATTAAAGTTATTAAAAGAATAGACGACGTTCTTTTCATAACAAAGTAGGTCATAATTGACCTTTCATAATTACTCTATTTCTTGAAAATGTCCTTAGATGATTTTACAAACTATTTCTACAGATTGATTGAAAATAAAAACCTTTTTAAATGAATATATTTTCTTATACAGAATAATTAACTAAATCATTTCATTTTAATTTTATCTATAAGAACTAATTATTCTTCCATAAAGACGATTTCAAATAAGAAAAGAAAAGAAATTGATCTCTTCAATTTAAATTGTACTATTGATAAATTAGATTTTTCTCAAATAATTTCATCAGATAAATATTGATATTTATTAGGAAATAATCTGATATTGTTAGTTTCTCTAAAACATTTCTTTTTATATCGATTTGTTTTTTAATGATATGCGAATATTTTATCCTATTCGAAAAAAAGAAACATCATACATGTTAATGTTTTTTGAATAATTCAAGTTTAACTGAAAAAAATTTGATGAAATTTTTATTGATTTTATTTCTAAATGATTCAAATATAAACGTAGTTAATAATTATAGTTACGATTCAAATATATATTTTATAATAAATATCATCATTGAAAACTTTTTCTTTCAATTTTTGTAAACGAAATATTTCCTAAGATAATTTTTCAATAATGTATCACTGAAATGATTCGATCTATTATTAGATTAATTGTTTTATTTCAAAAGATTTGTTCTTAGTAATTATTTGTATATAAATATGTTAATTATATGAAATAGTTTTAATCAATTATTTACTTTAAAGTAGATAAAAAGAAATGTGAATAATTATTATAATAAATACTAAATATAAAAACTCAAATCAAATCATTGATATTAATATATATTGAGTAAGGATATATATTCATGAATTTGTTATTATATTAAAGTTGAATGATAAGAATGAATATTTTCAGGAAAAAAAAATAATCAAGTATCTTATTTTGAACAGATTTAGTTTCTATACAATATTATAA